TTGGGCCAAGAAACCAGCTCAGAGATGCTGAAGAAGTCTTGTCTCCCCTGGGAACTGCCTTAGCTGGAAGTTCCCACATTCAGCTTGAGTGTCCTGACCCTTCAGCTACTAAATAAGGGGAAAAGCACTATTCCTCCTCTGGCTATTGTTTTGCAGACAGGAATGGGATAAATATTTGTCTCCTGAAGGGAGGGAGGGCTAGGAACCCCAGTGAGAGAAGGAGGAGCATTTGGCTGAAAGTACCTAAGTTCTTTTCAAAAGATGACTTCAGACACTCTTTTCTGACTTTCTGTCACTTTTAAATTCCATCAGCCCACGCATATTCCATGTGTTTCTGAAACAAATGTAACCCACTGCCTGGCCCAGCCCAATTCCAGGCCTATTTTCATGGTTTGTGCCAGGTCTGTGAGCAGACATCTCTTAGATGTTCTTCAGCATGTGTGGGACTTACATTGTCCACTGCCTTCCCAGAATGAATTTTCCTTATTTCAGCTTTGTAAAAGTTTCCGTTTCATTTAATCCTAAGTAAAAAAATTCCACCAACATGAAGGATATAAAGAAAAGACTTTGTAAAAGCCAATTTATCTCAAGGCAATCTGCCCTTTTTATGGCTTCAATGTGCCTCTAATGGAACAGGACAGAGAATTCTGCCTCCCCATTCATTTCCTAGCAAGTGTAGCTATTGACCGCTTGGTGTGAGAGGCCTCTACAGGTTTCCAGCACTGCCTGATTGCACTTTCTGAGACTCTTCAGACTTGTATCTAAAAAAAGAATTGATTAGGAGGATGAATGCCGTGTCTGATCATTAAATATTTAAACCTGGTAAGCTTTCAAGAGTGGCAGGCTTGCCAGCCTGTGAAAACACCCTTGTTTTGCCATATCTAACTTGCCATTGCCAGTTTTCAGAAGATTTGAAGTAATGTCTACGTAAGATTTAATATCCAGTGCTTCTTAAGAGAAAAGAGGGCAGAGAGTGTGCCTTTAATTGTGTCTTGTAGATTGAAACAAGTACTCATACATCAAGAAATGTAGCTGGGAGAATGCATTTCTCTCTCCCTGGTGTTTGAGTGAATATGTCGATGGGATAATTGCCCAAAATGAAACTAACACAAATATTTTAACCCATATATCACATTGATCACAAACACAGGAAATAGCATCTTGTTACATGGACTGTGACTGCAGTTTCTGCTCCAAACTTCTGGACAGAGGAGTGCACAGCATCCTCTAGATGCCAGGACATTGGAGCCTTGGACTGATCTCCCTCCATCATATTCTTTTCCATCTCTGTTTTCACTCATCTAATAGTTCTAGCACCGTGGGAATTTTTAAGTAATCCTTTTTTCAAGGGAAAAAAAAATATCCAGTTGTTGATTTTTTTTTCCTTGCTGTGCAGGATGTTGCATTTACAAGTGTTTTGGGAGAATCTAGCTGTCCAGTCAATTCACTGCTAGTATGAGCCAGTTTTCTACCAAAAGGGATCAAAAGACATTTGTGCCAGTTTAATCACAGCTGTGACAAAGAATTAACTGATAGCACACAGAGCTCTTTGCAAGATGTAAAGTTTAAGCTCAGACATGACCTCTGTGTTCAGTTTGGGACCTAAACAGAATAGACAAACTGGGAAAAGAGGAGAATGGTGCATAATCTGAAGATGGGCAGTGAGGGAAGAAGAAACATCTTACCATAAACTGTCCATGAAAATTGCCTGCCTTTGTATTCAGTTCCTGACAGCTGCAGCTGTAGCATTCAAGGGATGCTACACACTCAGTGTTGGTGGTTTTCCTCCAGGCAGTTGCTATCTCTCGAGGCAGGTCATAACAACAACCCAGCCCACGTGTGTGAGGATTGTTTTGCAGGCTCTTTTTCACAGTAAAGATTTTCCTATGTGTTCATTTGAGCATGACTTCCATTTTCTTTCTTTTTTTTTTTTTTTTTTTTTTTTTTTTTTTTTTTTTTTTTTTTTTTTTTTTTTTTTTTTTTTTTTTTTTTTTTACTATAATTAGCTATCAACATGTCATCATTATGAATTATGTGGTCATTATCATCATAATTCATCATTGTGAATTATGAACATTATCATCCAGTGTGTGGTAAAACAAATGTATTTAAATGACTACAGATAACACATGATATACATGCACTTTTGTCAAAGAGTGGTTTACCAGTCTGACTGGTTAACCTACTGCCATCTTTTCATCATGACATCTGTTAGAACCAGTAAAATATGGCTCAGTTTGATCTTTGTTCCAGTTTGAAGTTGGAAACCTTATAAAGGCCATAGTAATATGTTTGGGTTTATATCTGATGTTCCAAAAATAGTTTCCTAGTTCAGTGCTGTGTACTAGTGAGGCACAGTGTTCAGTGTCTGTGGTTTGTGTACTAGGAAGGATCACTGCCATGCAGTGCACTTGTGGATTAACCTCTTGGTAACACACTGTACTTAAAAAGGAAACTTCAGCTGCAATGCTGCATCTTGTCTTCAAATGTTAATGCCCTTTGCCTATCAGTTCCTGGCCTGACCCTCCAGCATGAATAATGCAAACCTTGGCAGGAGCTCACCTGTGGGTCCCGGTAAAGGAGGGAAACGAAGCTTCTTGACATCCGCGGGCAAGTTCACAGCAACCAGGCCTGACTGTGAACGCAGTGCTGAGTCTGCCAGGGATCAACTGGAAGGAAAGGTGAAGCTTTCAGGGAGGGCAGAGGCTAAGGTGGTGTCAGGATGTGAGTGTCTGGATCAGCTGGGCAAGCAGAGTGGCCAGTCAGGCAACTGGTGATAATGACCGAGAGTAAATACAAACAACAGGAGTAAGGGATAGAAGATTCCAGCTGAAGAGGGAGCAGGGTACAGTATTTTATTTCTGACAGGTAGTCAGTATTTACTAAATAAAAAGCAAATGACAGAGAAATAGTTCTTCTTTAAGGCCTTGTTTTCCTAGTAGAATATGTTTGGGTTATAAGGAAGCCAATTGCACATGAAGTAAAATACCAAGAAGACAAGACATGTGGTCTTAAACCACCCCAATTTCCCTGTAGCTTACCTTGCTGAAAAGCTCAGCTTTTCTGTGTTTCTACTTGAGCACAATCTATATGTTATTTTTCTTGAAGTAAAAAAAAGTGTCCTTTTGACTGTGAAGACAAGTGATCCGAAAAATCAGCTTTGAGAGCCGAGTATTAGGTGACTGCATCAGGATCAACGGAGAGACAACCTGACTGACCTCAAAACCTTGGGTACCTGTGCAGCTTCTGTCTGATTTCATGCATTAAAAGATTCCTCTGCTCATGATAAACATAAATCTTTCTTTAGAAGGAGTGGAACCCGAAAACATTGTAACCAAGAGGGGAAATAATCTGCAGAGACTGGATGGAGTGTTCCTCCGACCAAGCTGTTCACTGATGACTCCCATGCCAGCATGAAGTCCCTTACTTCCTAAAAAAGAACCTAGAACTGTTTTAGTGTAAGAAAAGGAAGAAGGAAAATAAGAAGATATGCCTGGTAAAGGCAAGCTCATGAAAGCTCTCACTGTTTCAGTAGCCAAATGAAATAGCCAAGTGGCCAAATTAGGAGTTAAGCAATACCTGCTTGGTAGGATTTGGCTACACCTTCTGGGAGTACAAAATGGGAGGTGATTACAGCCTGGAGCTGACCTACTTCTTGTCCATAACACAGTGTCCCAAGTTTGGCTGTGAGGCTCAGCAACTAGTTTCTCACCCTCCTACTAAGAGTGCTCTGGATTTGATAACTACGTCTGGGGGCTAAATCCTCCCCCAAGGGAAAGGTGGAAAGATGTTTGACCAAGTTCTTGTTGAGAAGGCTGTGTTAGTGCTACTTTTAGCACTCTGTGTTATTGATGACTATATGGCAATTTGAGGGTTTGTTTCTATTATTTCAGATCTCTGTAAAGTGTTTGCAAGCTTATTTGTACCTTTAGTTAGCATTAACTCAATTCTAAACCCTAACCACAGAGTGAAATTCATATGACCATTTTCTCCCTTGGTCTTGCTGCTAAGATTTAATCTGAGAACAGCAGAGATGTCCTCGGTTCCTACGCCTTGCAAACTGAACAGATCTCATCTGAATCATGATTCAAAATTACCGATGATTAAGACAGTGAGAGCACACAACAACTTGTCAGAAGCCTGGTATGAAAAAAAATGATCTCGTAAAACAGAGTGAGTGTATCCCATTATATAGTAAACAGCTTTGAGTGAAAGGCAGATCACACTTTTTTGGTTTGGCACACTGGTGTTGCGTTGCTCTATTTCCAGTCAGGAGTGCCACTGGATATGAGAACATGAAGTACAATAGAACACTCTGGACTGAAGCATAGTATGCAAAATATTCAGGAGTTAAGGGTATTTTTCCTCCTATTATTCTCTGCTACAGTTTGATTGCTCTAATCTTTAAGAGCCTGCTTCTAATTTTCAGGTACAACTCATTCATGTCCAGCCTACACTCTTTGTGCTTGTGCCAACCATATCTTTTAGATTACTAGTTCCAAAAAACCAGTCCATAATCCAGAACTGGATTGCCTTTCTGGATGTGTGGAGCTATCCTAGACTAAATCATGCCTTTCTAATAGAGGTGGGCAGTATTTGCCCTATATCTACTATCAGCACCCACCAATTATCTGAGATCTGTTCAAGCCACCTCATCCTTGCTGCTGTGCAGGGACGAGTATCACCCACCATTACTAATGAATCACATTAACTGATACATTTTCCCCCTACACACTCATTTCCTTCACTCAAATTGTATAAGTAATTGCAGTCTGAATACTTCAAATGAATGAAAAGTGGTATAATGATGCTATCAAGAAATCTTTCTGGCTTTTTCCCTGTCAGGACTGCTGAGGGGAGTGCTCAGTCCCAGCAACAGCCCAGAGCTGTGTCTGAGTAAGCAAGGGACCATCTAGCAGGAAAGGAGAGAGGCAGGTGAGCCCTGCAGCTCTGGACCACCTCTTGCCTTCCTCCTAACTGCGGGGTGCCCCTTGCTGGCCCAACCCAACACCATTGTTCTCTGGGGAGGTTCCCAGCCCTGCCTGCATCCCGGGAAGGAGCTGCAGCGCTGACGGCCACCCCACACCAGGAACAGAGAGAGCAAGGTAGGCACGTGGAAATGATTAACTGATCGTTAATGATTGTACTGCGAGAGAGGAAGAGGGGAGGGAGATGACTTGGAAGTGCAGGGGAAAGTTGGAGCCTCTCTGGCAGCTGGTGAAAAAAGCAGCAGGCAAAATCACACTTCCTAGCTGTGGTGGCTGGGGGAACACACACACACATTCACATGGAGGGTCCTTCAAGCTCACCATGTAATATTGAAAACCAGCCTCATGGCTGTGGACATCCACTGTCGTGTATCTCCCATGGGCTGTGCTTTTCTGCTTGGGAAGAAGAGGGAGAGGGGAAAAGAAGAGGGATGGCTCATGAGTGCTGAACCTCTGAGGAAAGCACAGCTGTAATCCCAGGCTGTGTGACTGGGGAGACTGCTCTGAACAGTGCTTGCTTATGTAGTGCTTTCCCTTCATCCTCCTCCACCTCAAAAAAAAAAGAAAGCACTTTTGCCACACAAAGCAAAAGAGAAAAGATTTCCAGGAATAAATGTTTAATTTTAGCTCTAATTAATGTTTTAAGCAAGAGAAGTCATCAGTCCTGTAACTGTATCTTACCAAGGGGTAAGATCTTGTGTGGAACAGAACTGGATGCAGAGGTAAGATAGTTTGGAAGACAACCATATGATTGACACAGATAGCTGCTTGCTGCATATTCTGAGACCTCTTCTAGATGCCCAGTTCTCAGATCAAACACAGTATGCCATAAGATTTCTGTTTAATTTTCCTCATGGAAAAAAAAAGCCCTGCTAAAATATGTGTGTGGCCGTTTCACCACAAAGTGCAGACTGCTGTTTCTTACATGATAATGGCTAAAAGTGTGTATACTTCTGTCTGCTATAAACCTTACTTTTGTAATGATATCAGGGCATGATTTTCTGGTATCTTTAGGTAGAAAAGTACCAGAAAGAATTCAGTGCCTAAGCTCTCTTTGTAAAACCATCTTCAAGAATACTGTGGTTTATTATCAGCCAGGAAAATTGTGCACAGATGAAAGCATTGCTAAAACTCTGATGGCTGGATGTAGTGCTTATGTAGTGCTTTCCCTTCTCTCTGCCCTAAGATCTGTCAGTGACCCTTGTGCACCTGTAAAGTCTGTGACCATTTACTGAGAGCCTGCTCTCATCACTGTCCCGGGCTGTCTCATCAGTGGTGCTGCTGCAGCTGCCACTTCAGGCCCTGTGTGACAACTCTGGTTCATCCAGCACATGCATGAACATGCATGAACAACGCTCAAGTCATGCTACTAGAGAGCACACGCGTGGACTTTCTCAGCAGCGCCAGGATTATTCTTCTGTAACTGCAGGGCTCTCTTGTTTCACTGAGCCCTCCGGTCGCGTCATCCCTTTCTTTAAAACCATCTCCACTTCGCTATGGCGATCTTATTTTCGGACAGAGCCGTCTCGGGGCCGGCACTGCGAGCAGGGAGGGGAACGGGAGGTCGGACAGCGCATCCCCCCGTGCTGGTCGGACCCCCCCTGGCCGGGGCGCTGTGGGCCGGGCCAGGTGAGCCCGGGCCGGGCTGGGCGGAGCGGGGCGGCCGCCCGGCCCACCCGCGTTACAGCCGGGGCGGGGAGCGGCGGGGCCGGGGCTGGGCCAGCGCCGACACTGCCCGGCCCTGCGCGGGGCCAGCGCCAGCCCGGACGGACCAGGTGAGCGGGGCCGGGGCGAGCTGCCCTTCCCCGGGGGGGGCGAGCAGGGACGGAGGGTCCGTGGGCTCCGCGCTGCGCTCGGGGAGCGTGCCGGGAGCGCCCGGCGCGGCTTTCGCCTCCTGCGGGGCGGTGCATTTATCATTTATTTCGCTTTAGACATTAGGGCTAGTTTGCTTTTCTTTCCTTTCCTTTTCTCCCTCCCCCCCCCTTTTTTTTTTTTCTTTTTCTTTTTTTCCCCTTAACACTTTTGCGGGTATTTTTTGTCGCGCTTCGGAACTGCGGATGTGCCATTGTTATACTCTCGGAATCGCCTGTTTTGTAAATGACGAGTAAGACAAAGCACGCTAAGTAAGAAGCGTTCTCGCACGAGGAGGAAAAAGGTCTTCTAAGCACTGGTTGCTGAGAGGGATCCTTTGGAACTCAGAGAGTCTGTTGCTGTGGCGTGAGCTGTTCGCTCTCACAGTCAGCACCTCTGAGCAGTAAAACTGGGGAAGAGAACCCTTATTTCATGTTCTCTCTGCGTGTCAGATGTGTGTGCATGTCACTTCTTGCCCTTGCAGAGGAGCCTCTGAGGATGAGTTTTGGATCTGTGCCTCTGGATTTGTCTTTTAGAGAGTGCATTTGAAGTTCTTTTATGGCTCTCTTTTTGCTGGAACTGCCGAGCTACTTTTAAGAAATGTTTGCAAAACCTTCTGTGGCCCTAGGTTTGATCTCAGGGAGAGTTTGAGAAAACTTTGGGGTTGCTTTGATGTGACCCTCTTGATCATTTTTTTTTTTTTTTTGTGAGGTTGAGCGAGGGTTTTTGATTGCTGTTCCTAAAGTTTACCTTCTGACTATTATATTACTTTCGGCAAACATAATTTCTTTCCTTCTGTTGATTATTAATGGAAGATAGGCCTGTGTATGTTGCTGCAGAGGGCTTGGACTTTCACAAATACATCTCAGTATCTCCATTAAGTCTAAGAAGGCTTAACTAATATGTAAGTGTTTAAAAAAGAAAAAGCATGTATGAAGACTTTGTGTGTTTACAGAAAAAAAGTTATGTGTGCCAAAGAAACTGTAGAAAAGATGAACCTGTTCTCTGGCAGTGGGTATATTTTTACATGCTCTATGAGGCATAAAAGGAGAGAAAACATGCGTCTTAAAGTGGCCCTTTGCAGGGGCAGAGCTGATGGGTGGAGTTCATCCCAGGGCCCCGTGCATGTCGTGACACCCATGTGACACAGAACCAAGTGTTTGGGTGCTGCTTCCCTGTCCTCACATGTTCTGGGCACCTGTTTCTGGCTACAAAGACCCTCTGCACTGCCCTGAGCTTCTGTCACTGCGTTTTGCCCATGATTGTAAATATTTTGACCAGCATTGTCTCCTCTGTTACTTTCGTGTTTGTAAGCACAGAAATATTTACATACAAGTAATGTGGAAGTAGCAAGATAAGGCCACGTAATGCTGTTTTCTGTCTTATGACTTGCTTTTTGGGTAGTGCTGTCTAAATAAATATAAATCTAGGCTTTGTATACACCTGAGAATGAAACACACCATGAACATGGATGTATTTACTGCAGGTAGAGCTGTCTTACAACAAACTGCCAGATCGTGTTTGTGCACTACACAAAATAGAGTTCTTGGGATGAAATGTGGTGAGGGGGGTCCTTTCTTGGTGATAGGACCAGCAGGCTGTGGCCAAGGTTGTTCTTGGTGCTAAGCCTGGCAGTGGCAGAAGTAAAGAAATCCTCCCCCTGCTTCCATTTCATCCCAAGCAGGATGTGGGGTGCAGAAGCACTTGGGGCCTGCTGGTTGTGGCCGAGGTGTCTTCAGGGTGAAAGCTGTTTGATACTGGTTGCATCTTTTTGACTATTTTTGTCTCAAGTTTCTATCAGAAACCATTTTTGGATCACCGAGTATGGAGTAGTCTCAGCAGAGATTGATAGTAACTGCTTGAAACTTGGGAAGAGACTGTTGATTAGCAAAATATAATGAGATTGTAACTGTTCAATTATATGCTGATAAATATTTGGATATTGGTGGTTAATCTACCCCTCATCTGAAAGGTTTCTGACAGAGAGTAGGGAGAGGAATTGAGCTCAAAAAGTGCAAATCCCTTCCTGGGCCTGGGAACAGCACTCTGCCCATCAGAGGGGTGGCAGCCTTTGAAGAGGAAAGAAAGGACTGAAGTGTTTGCTTTTCTTTCTGCACAACAGTTTTAGAAACTCAAATCCTGCCCTTTTTTTTTTTTTTTTTTTTTTTTTTTTTTTTTTTTTTTTTTTTTTTTTTTTTTTTTTTTTTTTTTTTTTTTTTTTTTTTTTTTTTTTTTTTTTGCAACAGGTTGATACAGAGAGCTAAACAAAAAGAAACAGCTGAAACACTGTAGAGAAAGGAGGTGTTTTGCATGACGTGCCACTCCCCAGTGTAGTTCAGATAAAATAAACTGCAGAAAGCGTTCTTCTGACTAACTGCTTTGCCTTTTCTCTCAGGGCAGGGTAGAGGCAGTTGTTCTGCTTCCTTCTCTCAGCCTAATACTGTCTCTTCCTCACGTCCCAGGCAGCCCCTTGAACAGATCAGTGATGTTCATTTCCTCCTCCTCCCTCTCGCTGATCGCTCGTTTCCGCTCCCCGCCGGGAGGTCTCGGGGGGCTGCGGGGGTCACTCAGCCCGGGTGAAGGAGCCCCTGCCTTGCGCTGCTCTCTGCTCTCGCTTCTGCAATTGAGTTCCTCTGGGCAGACCTCAGCTGGCCGGGGAGCGCTCTCAGGATTTGCCTTTGTGCCTGTTCTCCTTTTTCATGACGTGCGTGGCTGTAGCCTGAGCGATGCAGCCCGTGCTACCAGGAAGAGCACCAGGGGAGGCAGCGAGTGGTGTCAGAGCGGGGAGCACGGACGGGGCTGCACACGAGGCTTTGAGCTCTCAGCATCGCTTCTTGCAGTCTCCCCCTTCTGAGAATAAACAGCTGCCTCTTGGATTTTGTAAACAAGCAGAAGCGAGATTTTGCGGGAAGATTTTGCTTCCCCCCCCCCCCCCCCCCCTTCCAGCTAGTTGCTAAGACAAAAAGGCAGGAGCAGAAGGTGCAGGGATGGGACCCCCTCTGTCACGAAGTGGCACCTCGGAGCACCATTCCCGCCTTGGTGGCAGAGGGGAGAGGATCTGAACTGAGGCTTCCTTTGTCCCTTCATTGTGCAGAACGACACTCTGAGCTTTCGTTTCTGTCATTTTTGGGGCAGGTGGGGTAGACTAAAGTGGTGCTTCTGTTGTTTGCCGTCCCCGAGGGAAGCTGTAAAATACCATGCGAGTCAAGTCGCATCTACTCAGGCTGGGCCTCCGGGTGGGCGCTGCCCCGCAGCCTGACCTCCCG